GGAGGGAGGGGGAATGACTAGTGAGAGTGAGAGAAAGAAAAAAAAGACTTTGAAAAGATGAATATCAACTTTATATACACATGTTCTATTTTAAAAAGAATATTGTGATTTATATATATATATATATATATAATTTTTTCTCTAATTTGAAAATGTTGAATTCCTAACATTTCATAAAAATGTTTTTGTGAAAAAGTGAAATAAAAATTATATTTTTTGAATTTTTTTAAATAGTTGTCAAACATAAAAAATTAAGATTTTCAAGTTAAAAGTTAAAAAAAAATAAATAAAAATATTTGATGTATTAAACGTGTCTTAAGTGATACTTTCCATATATAATATTAAAATTCGGATAATTTAATATTAAAAACAAAACTTCTAATAAATCATGATATGGCTGGAAATTTTATTGGCTAAAAAGTTAGAATACATATTAGTAAATTTTAGTGCAAGGAATAGATATAATATGGTGTCCAAAATGGGTTTTGCAATAATTATTAGTAGTTGATTTTATTATAAAGTGTAAAAAGTATTAAATATAATTGACAAATAACAAATAATAAAATTCACCTTGGATACCGATATAATCATATTTAAAAAAGTGATAAAGGGGTGAAAGCCCACACTTAATGCATTCAAAGTATAGGTCAGACTTTCCAATTAAATTTTTGAAAGATGTTTACATAGGTAGGGATGAGTTAGTTCACTTTTCCCTAGGGATGCCATGAACTTGGATATCCCATTCCCACATTAGCAAATGACTGCCACAGTTGCTTAGACTTTGATACTCCAACCCATACTCCCAACTCTGCATTTTCTTTAATTTGCTTGCCTTTTCAATTCCATCATATTCTATTGACCTCTTTATTGGACTATGAGCTACATAACGTACAAATTTGACAATTTACACTTTTCTACTCTTTTGTCATTACTAAAGTATCTATTACCAATGCATGTTATAAAAACAAGGTAAGATATAGTTCAAGTATGGTAAATGAAAAAAATAATGGATGAAAATGGATGTTAGGAATTAGTGATATGATTATACTAATATTTATAAGTGAAGAATAATTTTTATATTATTATATCTCACTAATTATAGTTAGTTAACTTTTCTAATAAAAATTACTCATCAATAAAATTGATTGATGATAATAATAATAATAAAATAAAATAAAAACCATTCTTTGTTTCAAATATGTGCAATGTATAGAAAGAACATTTAGAATAAGAGATACTTTTATACAAGTGAAAAATGTGAATAATTAAATATTGGTACGCGATCAATATCTACCTTCATTATATAGTAAGCCTTTTTTGTTTGTTATTTAGCTTTTCAAAGAAAAAAAAATCATTATTTAGTATTTACACGTTGGTCAACGGTACAAGTGTAAGGTAAGATTAAAAAATGGTGTGATCAATCAGATTATTTTCATAAACTATTTAAAACAGTTAAACGATTAAAAAAATGGTAATAGTGAAAGCCCTTTTGTCCGAACTTGGAAAATTCAATACCATAATCATCTTGAACCAGGACAATTTTTTTTTTTTTTTTTTTTGAGAAATATTAGTAATACTTTTAACACTTTTTCTTCCTTTTTAACACACTCTTTTATTAGATAAAATTTGTGAGTCTTCTTAAATATGGGTTTTATTATTCACAAAAAATAATGAGTTTTATTTTTCATTTAATAAATCATATTCCCAAACAAATCAAATTCATATATCTTCGAACTAATAAAAAAAAGTGTTAAAAGAATGAAAAATAATGTTACTTCTCAACTTATACTAATTGAAGGCATTGAAATTCTAGTTGTTACATTACACTAATACTCAATAACTGTCATATGATGAATCCCAAGAAAAAGATGGAAAATGATACGCTCTTTGAACATAAGTGCACAATATCAATATGAAAGACAAATAGATAATTATTTTTTTCATCACCCAGCCCAGGCCACGGTAACATTTTATGCCAAAGATTCAACTAATGAATTGTATGGGTTAATGTATATTTATGTGATAATACAAAAAAGAAAATGTATATTTATGTGTTGACATCTATCAAATACAGTGACACTAAAAAAAAAAAAACATTGAAATATTTACTGAAAATAAGTGTCGGTTAATAATTGATATAAATACTGTCGATCAATTTAAGATGTAGTATTCACTTTTTTAACAATAAATTTAAATTAAATTTAATGTCAGAAAAATTAATACTAACTTAAATTAAGTTTAATATCGAAAAAGTCGATGCTATTTATTTAAATATAACATCAACTTTTCTGACATAAACTTAAATTAAATTTAGTACAAAAAAAAGTCGAAGCTATTATTTAAATAAAACATCGACTTTTCTAACATTAAATTTAATTTATGTTAGTGTCAAAAAAATTAACGTTATATTTAAAAAAATAGCATCGACTTTTCCGATACTATACATATTTTAAAAGTGATAAAAATAATTTTGTTCAATCTTATATACGCATAATGTGTCATGGTGCAGTTGGTTATTAAGTTACTTTAATACATTGAGGGTTCAGGACCGAGTCTCAACAATGCTAAGTTTAGGCGGATAAATGGTAAGCTGAAAAAGGAAGAATAGAAAAAGAAAATAAACTAGACTTAGTGTCCGCTAAAACGATAATAAAAAATTAAAATAAATAAAATTATTAAGTTAGTATTGTCTTCATTGACAATAAATCGACTATAAAAAATATTTTTATCGACTTGATCGACACAAAAAAATTGTGTCAATTTGATTAGAGTGAGCTAAAAAATTGATGGATGATCAACGATAAATATAATTGACACAAAAAAATTGTGTCAATTTAATTAAAGTCAGCTAAAAAATTGACGAATAATCAACAATAAATATAATTTTATGTCAATTTTTATTATTTAGAATCGATTTTTAACTTATTCTAAAATGAAACATTCGTGTAATGTGAATGTCATATTATTTACATAATAGTGTAACACTAAGAGAAGGATAAAAACAAGTCAATCCTTAAATTCAAAAGACAATCACACAAATACACAATGATAAAAATAGATGATCAAACGTTTTTGAAGAGAAACCACGTAGCCATAGGTAGTACCAAGAAACCATAGTAATACCCCGCAACCTGAGATTCTCATTAAAAGATAAAACTATCAAAGGCAAGACATCAAACCTATTGGCCAACTGGATGACAAAATCAGCATGCCTCTTTAAAAGATAAAACTATCAAAGGCAAGACATCAAACTGGAAAATCCTCTTCTTGCTCACTAGAGTAAGAAGCACATGCAAGTTTAGTAACTCACAAACCATTCACGATGCTATGATGACATAAAATCCTAGAAGTGTCACTATACATTATATTATTAATAATATACACATTATATTATTAACCATATGATTAAATAAATAAATTTGTGATATAAAAATTAAATTATTATTATTTTTAACATTTTTATTTATTTAATTAAACGTTTTACATTCTTTGGTTATATGAAATAGAAAATAGAAAACTTAGGAGTCCCATCTTTGCCTGATTTTTTCATTTATATTCATGTTTGTTTATTCAGATTATTTCATATGGGGATGTATGGAGATATTTAGAAATTTTTTTTTTTAAATAAAATTATCTTCTTTCATTACGTATGTATGTAAGTGTACGTTATTGTATGAGTGTACATACCTTTAATGTTAATTTTTTTATTTTTATTTTAAAATTTAAATTTTAATAATAATAGAATAAACTATTTTTTATTATGAAAATTTAAAAAAAAAACTTACACCTGTAATTAAATATATATTTGTTAACTTATTTAAAATTAAATTTAGTTTTTTTTAATATTATTAATATAAAATAGACTTTTAAATTAATTAATAAGTAAAATTAGATTTGTGAAAGAATTTAATCATGCGTAGACCAATAAATATAATAAATAATATATCAAACTTAAACTTTAATTTTATAAAATAGACTTTATCTATCTATTTACAATTTGATATAACCTAACATATTTCTATCCTTAATTAAGGACCTTCAATTAAGAATTAGTATAGAACCTATGCGAGTATCTAAATATCATTTTTCTTTCACCAATACTAGGTGGATTTCTAACTCTTCACTGTAGTCTTATATATTGAATCATAAAATCGAAAAGAATCTTTGAAAATAATATGGTGGTAATATTTTAGTTGTTGAGATCTCATCTAATAATTAAACTTAGTCTTGTTTGACATAATTTTTTATTTATTTAAAAGATACTCTAAAGTTAACATCCAAAATAATAATTTTAAAAATAAAATGTGTTAGTTTTAAAATTAAATAAAATTAATTTCAAGCCTTTAATTTAATATATGTCCAGTTATATTGCACCATGCATGTGCTATATTTTTAGTAACCTAAATGTGCCAAATTCTTATATAAAAATTTCTCCAAAATTTGATAAATAACATAATCAAAGTAAACTTTAACAACATCAGTTGCTCAAGATGAATTAATCTATTTCCAGTGGCAGGGTGTGTTATTGGTTGCAACTTGCAACAAATATAGGGTAGATCAAAGAGTTTGAAAACTAGAAAATTAAACCAGCACTTAATAATTCTATTTAAATTTAAATCCCAATAGGTCTTAAAACCGTATTAAAGAAAAAACGTTACAGCCAAATGTCTCAAGAGGTGCCATTTGGAGAGATTAACGTTAACATCTCCATCTCTCTCTACATGTTTGTTCCCACCAACTGACCCACTTTAAAAAAATCTACTCCGCAATGTTTGCTTTCTATTCCAAACCGCTCCACCACCGTTACTAGTTATTTATTACTGCCTTCAAAACCAACGAAAACAAACACTACTTTTCACTATTTGTAACCCTTTTTTCCTTCCCACTTCAGATGGGAAAAATGGGACAAGAATCAGATTACAAGACCCAGTTAGTGTTGGAGGTTTGCTCCATTTCCACTCGTTCAATTGTGTGTGTTCATAGACTTGTCTCAAACAATTCTAAGCCACCATTCATAGATTGGTATTGCATTCTTGGTGTAAGTATTTGATCCTTTTTTTGTTGATGAAAAATTAATATACCACTTTTTTGTGTTCTTTCATATGATGCAAATCTTTTTATATTGGGTTCTCATAGGTGGAAGACAATGCAGGGGTAAACACCATTCGGAAGCAATACCATAAACTTGGTAGGGTTTTACTCATTTTTATGGTTTTATGCTGTATGTGTTTTCTTTTGCATAACAAAGACTGTTATTTCGATGCAGCCTTGCAACTTCATCCAGACAAGAACAAACACCCCAAGTCTGAAATTGCATTCAAGCTTGTCTCTGAGGTTAGTTTGTGATATATATTATAATGTTTTGAGTAAATAGTTTATATACTAATCTTATCTTCTAATAACAAACCATAAATTGTCATGAACTGTAATGTAAATTTATTAACTTTTATAATTACGGCCTTGAAAGTCATACCAAAACCAAATCGGCTAATCCGGATGTTTCTGATAGGTTCACGATATAAATTTTTTTACATCTATTATGAATTGAGTTTAAACTATAATGTTTTTTTTCATTAATGAGAATTCTTTAATAATGAGCACAAATCATTTCATGCCTCCATTCCATTGTTTTTTCTGTAGGCATATGTATGTCTATCTGATGCTGCAAAAAGGAAAGCTTTTGACTTCGAAAGACATAAGAAATTCTGCATTGAGTGCAATAGAATTCCATACACAACAAAAAAAGTCCCTCGCAATTCCAATGCTTCAGCTTCAAGTTTGAAGACATGGAACATTACTAGCGTGTCAAGATCACACAAAGTTCGGAGAAATATCAGGGAGATGAGAGAAAGACTGAAGGAGGAGGCCAGGGTGATAGAGAATTGTCTTCATGCAAATTCAATTTCAAAGAAAGAATCTCCCCTCTACAATCCAGCAGATTATAGACATGGGAACAGGTTACATCCTAAAATTGAGAGAGAAATCCCTGTTTTCAATCCAATGAAAAACTTGTACCAAGGTTACCCTCATGTGAGAGACCATGTTTACAAGAATTCTGAAGCATGTTGGTTCTTGCATACACAAAATGTTGTGCACAATGACAAGGGAGAAGCTAAGTGTGCCTCCCCGGTTTTTGAGGTCAGATCAGAAAGGACTATGCTCACAAGTAAATTTGCTTATGTCCCATCATAGTCTTTAAACATTTATACATTCAATTGGTGCAATGTGATTGGCTAATTGCATTTTCATTGTGAATCTGTATTAGCTATGGGGCTGCTTAGTACCTAAGAGCATCAATGCGCATTGGCTGGCTATTTTAAAATGAAACAGCCAAATACTAACAAATGTTTGTTACCAACAATAACACAAGTCTTTATTTTGGCCTTCGCAAAAATGCAGCAATGAATGCAATCTAAAGCATTCATATATACATTATTATCACCCAGGTTTTAAAAAGTAATCCGCAATTGTCATTTTAGTCAAAATATTAAGGTTTCAGGGCAAATGTAATTAGCAGCATCAGTTAACTGATGCGGTTAATAAAAATTGCCATAGTACATTTAAAATCTATTAAAACTCAATGTATAATGTGACAAATATAAAGAGGATAAGGGGAAAAGAGGTTGTGCACAATAGATTTATCTACATACAATATGTGACCTATCTCCAGTTTCAAAATTACTAGAGATTTTCTTCATTTCCATATCAATTTTTGTTAACAAGGACTGCAGAAACCCTTTCTCTACCTCAGTCGAAACCAGGGCATCCGGTATTTCTTTCTCCCAAGATTACCACAAAAATCTATATTTATGTCAATTTGAAATAGAGTATATCAGATCAATTTGATCTCAAAATCAAAACCACAGGATATCTAACAAAACAGTGCTGTTGAATGAAAACATAGTCACAAATTTCTTTCAAAGTCACAAAATGAAAACTGACAATGGCAAAGAATATCTAACTTTGTCCAAATTTCTTTACACTCATAGGATCATTCACAAATTCAAATGCCCCCACACCCCACGAACAAAACAGTGCCGTTGAATGAAAACATAGTCACATCACTAAATTAGGCCTTTCCCTCATGGCCAATGCATCCATGCCTCTCAAATAGACTCCCTACCCTCATCTAACAACATGAGTCCACTTCTGAAACTCACAAGCTTCACTGACTTAAGAATCTTTGTTTGTTCTTTATTCATTTGAGGCATCCCTTGTCATGGGTTACTGCATTTGGTCACTCACCAGTCACCACACACATTGGTTCCTACTGTTGCTAATCCTGAGCATTATCATGCTTCACTAACTTCTGCTACTATTTCTAACTAAGTCTATCACTTACCCAATGGTGACTAGAAAGTAATTTTCAAGACTAAAATATACTTAACACATAGTGCTGCACCTTTTTTCTTTAGTTAATTGTATAAGACATGAAAATTTTATCTATATTTACCTATTCGGGTTTTTCTAATTCAATCATTTTCGAGACTCAAAATTTACGAGACACATTTAATAGCTGGTTTTATGCTATATAAATTGTACAAAAACAATTGCTTCAAATGATTTACCTAAAATCAAATATATCTTGATCAATTAGTGGGGTTTAAGTGTAAATAGAGTTTCATATTGATTAAAGTTGAACATGTCGAATAATATATAAATAGCAAAAGATTCACATACATAATGTCTTAAGGTTTTAGATTACAATGTGATGTCAAGTTTACTTATGTAGTTTACTCGCTAGCCATGGACAAAATGTTTTCCCTAGTGTTTAACTCTTCAACAGTGATATCAAAGTCGATGACTCAACTAAGTGACCAATTCAAATGAGTATTGGACAATAAAATTAGTGTTGGATCTAAGAGTGAGATCTCATGCTAACGACGATGCAAGTAAACCACTATTGATTACTCTTAAAAGAAAAAAGACTTTTGCTTGGGGAAGCAGATCATGTGGAAGAGACTCACACTTGAGGGGGAGAGTGTTGGAGTTTAAGTGTGAATGAAGTTCTACTTCGGTTAGAGTTGAACATGTTAAGTAGTATATAAGTGAGAAAGATCCACTCACCTAATGCCTTAAGATTTTCAGTTATGATGTGGTATCAAACTCACTTTTGTAATTTATTCATTATCCATGGAAGAAGTGTTCTCCCTAGTGTTTAACTCCCTAATAGTGTTCATATTGGGAATAATATATATGAGATTAATTTAAAAAATTTGGGCAAACAAAATGTAACATGTTTGGTCTTCAAAGAAGATGAAAGATGGATTTGATACAAAGAAAAAAAAACTTGGGCATATAAATTTAAACATATTTCTAAATCAAATAAGAAAGGTTTAGTAAGAGGATTGACAAAGATCTCTTGGAAAACTCATATTCTTTATGAAGCTTATCAGAAAGGGAAACAAAGTAAAACTTCATTTAAATCTAAAAAGGTTGTTTTCACTTCTCAACCTTTGAAAGGTTAAAATTGTTACATATGGATTTGTTTGGTCCAACTAGAACTCTAAGTCTAAGAGGTAAAAAGTATAAATTTATCATTATAGATGATTATTCTAGATACATGTGGGTATAATTCCTAGCTCACAAACATAAGTCGTTCAAGGTCTTTGAGATATTTTGTAAAAGAGTTTAAAATGAAAAAAGTTTTTGCATTACCATTACTAAAAGTGATCATGGAACCGGATTTGAAAATTCTGGCTTTAAATTGTTTTGTAAAAAAAATTGTATCTTTCACAACTTTTCTTCACTAAGAATACCTTAATAAAATAGGGTAGTTGAAATAATGAATTGCACTTTACAAGAAATAGCTATAACTCTTCTTTGTGAAAACTCTTTGTCAAAACACTTATGAGCAAAAGCAATAAACACTACTTGTTATATTCAAAATAGAGTAATAATAAGACTAATATCAAACAAGACTCTCTATGAATTGTGGAGGGGGAGAAGACCCCACATATCATGTTTCCATCCTTTTGGATGTGAATGTTATATCCTCAATACTGAGGATCAACTTGGAAAGTTTGACTTTAAAGTGGATAATGACATATTTCTTAGATATTTAGATACTTCAAAGGCTTATAGAATCTTTAACTCTAGAACCTTTGTTGTTGAAGAATCAATTCATGTTAAGTTTAACGATGCTTTAATGGCTAATAGGAAACTATCATATTTAGAAAAAGGAATTTTTCAAAGTTGTAGATTAAGCCTGAGAAGGCGAATGAGACAAGCAAAAAGGAGCAGACGATTATTGAGACTGAAGGATAGATGAATCAGTCAGATGATACATCTAGATCTCATAGAGATTGGAATTTGTAAACTATCATACACAAGATTAAATCCTAGGAGATAGGGCTAAAGGTGTTAGAACAAGGTCTGTCTTGAGAGACAATGTTTTTTTTATGCTTTAGTCTCATATATAAAGCCAAAGATAATAGATGAAACTCTCAAAGACAATGACTACATTCTAGTTATGGAAAAAGAACTCCATCAGTTTGAAAGAATGTTTGGACACTTGTTCTAAAGCCTAAACATTAGAGCATTATAGGAACTAGATGGGTCTTCAAAAATAAGTTAGATGAACAATGTAAAGTGGTAAGAAATAAAGCTAGATTAGTGGCACAAGACTATAACCAGCAAGTAGGTATAAACTTTCTTGAAACCTTTGCACATATTGCTAGACTTGAAGCTATCAGGATCATGTTAACTTTTGCAACTCACAAAGACATCAAACTTTTTCAATTGGATGTAAAAAGTGTCTTTCTAAATGATATTACTAAAGAAGAAGTATATGAAAGGGGGATTGTTAGGCTAAAAGATGATCTTAATCCCAATAGACTTTAAGTTTTAATGATAACAAAAATAAACATTTTTCTAAGAGAAAAATGCTTTTTTTTTCTTCAAATCAAACTCTAAGACGATTAGTTATTAGGAAATTAAGTCTCACAAATGAAGCACTTCATTTGTAAGACAAATACTTTGTATGTATATCATTTATGATGTTTGATAACAAAATTATCTTTGTCTACAAGATTCCTTAACAGATTGAATAGAAAAAGTTTCTTCAATACTCACAATTCACTAAAGGAGCTAAAGACATGCTTTGCATATAAAAAAATGACTAGCATATCCCTTAAAGCACGAGAATCTTCAGAAAAAAATTATTTTTGACTGATACACACATAATTCCTCTTGTTTGGTACCTAAAAGGTGATAAGTAACTTCATCGATCAAGTAAGAAGTGACAATTTGATGAAATGCATTTATAGCAAGCATTTAATGCATCAACACACACTTCTTTTTACGTTAAACGAAGATGAAGACAAATGAAACAAGTCTACAAGAGACGCTTAAGGATTTGCAACGATCATATTTATGAAGCACCTATATAATTTTTTTTTTGAAGATTTAAAAAGAAAAAGATCCATAAAAAGAGATAATTTTTTATTGTAAAAATATATTCTTTCTTTATGTGAGAAACCTTGTATTAAGTTGGTTGTATCACATCTTGATAGTAAAACGAAACAATATTATTAGCTTACTCAACTTTATCTTTGTGTTATTACTTTAAGTCTAAAGAAACTTAATTGTAAAATAATACTTGATTATTAAAACTTGGAAAGACTTGTTTGTAAAAGAATAGTTGATTGTTAAAACCTAGAGAGGCTTTATGTTGAAAGAATACTCAGGTAGTTGCTTGAAAAGGCAAGTAAAAAACACTTAGGTTGAATCAAAAGTGGTTTGTGAAAAAATATTTGTATCTTTATAAATGATACTGAAACTTGATTGAGTTAGTAAAAAATTAGACGTAGTTTCGGTGATTGAGACAAATAAATATAAAAATACTATGTGTTATTTTTATCTTACTCTTTGTTTGCTCTCTTAAAACCTTGTTATCACTTCACCATTTTGCAAAATGATAAAATTTTTTATTGACACTATTTAACTCCTTTCTAATGTTTCTTTTTTCTCCAGACAATTTTACCACTCTCTTTCGTCAAGTTTTCATTCTTATTTAGAGTTTAATTATTCTCTATACTAAAATTTTATAGCTTTCATTGTAGCACCTCAGCTAACCAATGCAATTGCAAAAATAAAAAATAAAAAATGGTTTGGAGCCATATGATAAGCATTTTTTTTCTTGAGTTTCAATGCTCACATGTGATTTAATACTAATATTGTTTCCTTTTTAATATATATATATATATATAATGTATATTTAAATAAATATATTATATATTAATTTAAATTAATATGATAAAATATTATATAATTTTCAAACTTTATAATGATTTTTTTTTTCCAAATAGTCG